ACCCACTTTGATGCATTTTTCAAATTTTGCCTTGGGGCGGAGTTATCTTTTCACAGGGGGATAAGGTACAATTTAAATAAACATATTGATGTGGCACTTTTAACATTGTCTTCTAAATTATTCCACAGTCTCACTCCTTGAATTAAGGTGCATCGTTCTTCATGATCTAAATTTAGGTTTCATGAACATCTCTATTCACTTAAGATTATAACAACTTTCTCTCTTTGTAAAATTTATCTGAACATTTAAAGGTAATACATTTTGGTGTGCTTTATACATAACTAACAAAATATTACAATCAATCAAATTATAGAATTACATTCATTTCAATTTACAAAATAATATGTTAGAGGGATTAAGGTAAATTTGTGAGTCCGTCTACAGTTTACTTCTGTTTCTGCTCTGTTCAAATGTTGCTTTACGTGTCTTTGATTCTGTCTCTGGGATTAGAGTAATGAGTGATAAACTGTTTTAATGTACGACTTTAAACTTATAACAAAGAGAAGGAAATGAGCGACAGGTTTTTATGATTCAGGTAATAGAAGAAAWTAAGTAAAACATCCGTAAGATTCTTTTAAAAAGCCTCACAGACACAAACTGTTTATTCTGTCTCTGAAGGAATGGGTTACGGGGACCGGACCAGCACCTTCTGTGGAACTCCTGAGTTTTTGGCCCCAGAGGTGCTCACAGATACTTCGTACACCCGAGCTGTAGACTGGTGGGGACTTGGGGTCCTCATTTATGAAATGCTGGTGGGAGAGGTGAGARCAAAAATAAAAAACTCACCCTTTTTTGCTGAGGTTKTACTGAACAGAACAAAAATGATAAYCTGATAATAATCTGCTTGTTAAATTTAAAATCTGCTCCGTGTGTTGTCTAGTCTCCGTTCCCGGGCGATGATGAGGAGGAGGTGTTCGACAGCATTGTGAATGATGAAGTGCGCTACCCACGCTTCCTCTCCACTGAGGCCATCGGCATCATGAGAAGAGTAATGTTTTCTCTGTCCTGCTGTTTGATACATTCAAATGCTTCACTTTTAAAAAAGACACACTCCTCGTCACAAATGATGGGTGTAAAAGAAAAATCTCATCATTTCGTATCCTTGTTTGCATTCAGCTGTTACGAAGAAACCCAGAAAGAAGGCTGGGATCTGGTGAGAAGGACGCAGAGGAGGTGAAGAAGCAGCCGTTTTTCAGAGTAAGAACGATGGTGAAGCTACACTGCAAACCTCAAACATTAAATCCAGTCTTTGGCCCTGTTCAAACCTGTCGTTACACRTCCGTTTTGTCCGAACTGATTGAAGCTTCCACAGGAAATGAGACCCCCCCCACAAAAAACATTTTTGCAATCAGAAGTGGACTTGGCTGCTTGATTGCTGCTCAGGGTAGACTGCGTTCATTTTACCAAACGTACGTGTTTAAAAGGGTCCAACAACCCAAGTGGTCTGAGAAACAGGGCTGGGGAACATTGGTAAAAAACGATTAATTGTGGCTTTTAGCTGATAATATTAAACTGATGATTTACGCCTAGAGTCCCTGGATTCTGGCACGTCGTAGTCACAAACGATTTAAATCGCTCTCTGAGGATCTGATTGAACTTGTGTCAAAAGAACAGACTTCAAGATTCACACCAGTTTTTAAATGGTTAATWAGTAAAACCAGACTAATGGCACTTTTTTAACAAAACGTATGCCATGAAGGGTGTTGCATCAGGAGGCAGAGAGAGGGGCAGATTGATGGAAAAACACCTCAGTCTGGTCTCACCCCACACCCCGCCAAATTAACATAAGACCTTTTCTGTTTGAGGCCTGAAATTATTTGGGAAAAGAAAAACAATCTGTAAAAATAAGAAGATGTGAAATTGTATAAAGCTGGCGGCGATGAAGAGAAGAGCGTGACTGAGTGATGAGATCTGAGGAATTTAGTGTTTGCCATTAAGTTCAGTCAGTTTTAGTGTTTGAATCAAAGCAAGAGGMTTTTTTATGTTTTTTTACATGGAGCTACAGCTGATTGAGATGTGGACAGATGGACCGACCACAGTCAGAACCTTTTCAGAGAGAGGAGGACGGAAGCTCAAAGGCAGAGATGGAGGGAAAACAGTTTGAAACAGAGTGAGGACTTTGACCAGGAAGTAGACAATAGGTTTAAGAGAGAAAGGGAGCGTAGAGGGGACTACCGGGGAAATCCCCCGTCCAGCGTGCCAGCCTGGCGACGCCAATCGTATTCAAGCCAAATGCCAAATATTAACTTTTAATTGCACATTGAGTTTGTTTTTGAGGTTGTCCACGCCTCCTACCCATTTCTTTTCTCATCTTTTCCCTCCAGAACGTGGACTGGGAGGCGCTGCTGCAAAAGAAAGTACCTCCCCCCTTCGTTCCCTCCGTTCGCAACAAAGAAGACGTCAGCAACTTCGACGAAGAATTCACCACCGAGCCGCCGGCGCTCACGCCTCCACGTGAGCCCCGCGTGCTCACCCGCAAGGACCAGGACAGCTTTCGGGACTTCGATTATGTCTCTGACCTCTGCTAGTGAACCCAAAGCCCCTCAGTACACGGGAGGAATGTTGGATTTTATTTTTATTAGATTTTTTTTTTATTGAAGGCTAAGGACAGACAGGATGAAATCAGTCTGTCTACACTGTCTGCTGTTACCTAAACTGTGAAAAAAAATGCAGACAGCCTGTTTAGTGTGTCTGCTATTTAAGATTGTGGACTGAGAATCGGATCAGATAGCTGTTCTCTCATAACGAAGGAAAACACATGAAGCTCTCCTGCAGTCACTGTACACCACTGAATTATGGGACCTGAAAACCTTTAATAAGCTGCCTCCTGTTGTCCTGATGGAGGAGTTTGTGTACTGTTGACTGTTCAGGGCTTCCTCAGTGGCCTCTCATACCAATGCCTTACATTTCTACTTTATTTGCTCCAATAAGAAGTGAGCTATTTTTGTTTTTTAACAGCAGCAGGATTACTCTGCTGCAGAAAAAACATCTGCAACTCATGCTASGTTGTTTTTTAACTTTATTTATGGGTTTTTAAGAGCACTGCCTTGTGGTAAACCTGTGATGTTCACCAACTTAGCTGCTTTGTTTCACATCAGGAATTTAAGTCGTGTTTAATTTTCATCGTTCATCATCTTGCACAAAACCTTTATTTTAATTGGATTTATGAGTTTTTAACCAGATTTTAATTTAAAATTGTAGCACACAAAACAATCAGCGTGAAAGCTATACCGCAAACACGTAACTGAAACAAACAAAAAAGGTCATAACACTAAAGTGTGTCGGTGACAGGGTGGCTGTTGTGGCTTCGACGCAGTCATTCTCCAAGTCGTTTCCCTTCAAGACGATTAAATCTTCATCAGAATGACTCGTTTAGTGTCTGCTTTGAGTTTGAGTCAAGCCGTRAAGAAAACCTTCTTTCTTACATCTTAAAAGGTCCAGTCAGGAAGCTTTTGGCAGCGTCAAAACATTTCTGTGTAAACAATATCATGAGAGGGTAACGGAGAAGTTAAGAAGTAGATAAATGTTCCGTAACGTCTTTTTGTTTGTTGTGAAGCTGTATGTACGATTGTTAGGGTTTTACTGTCTGTGTGTGAGACGATACAGAACAGCTGAGCGGACGAGACGACTGCTTTTATAAAGAAACCCTGGAGTGAATATTCTGTCTGCTTCTTGGTGTCTGAAGGTGYGCTCATATCAGCCTGGGGTTGTTTACGTCAACGTAAACGTCTCTTCACAGCATAGAGAAAACATAACACCCTTTATTCTCAAAGCCACAGTTCAGTTCTGTATTATTTAGCTGAGGTTTCTTAAGAAGTCCTGAAAAATATGGAATTTGTTTGCAGTATTTTTTAAATTCAGCCTGAATTATTTTAAWAATTTCAGCAACAAAGATCCAAAAACAAACTCAGAGGATGATAATGAAGACACGGTGAAACAAACTGACAAAATGGAGCTGGAGAGTCGACTGGGAAGAAGAAAGCCTTTCGTCCCGGACCTGCTGCCTTTATGTCCCGAACACAGATAAATGAGGAGAAAAATATGCATCAATTTTTTTAACTATTCATTTCATAAAAAACATTAATTCCATGCACAATAAAAATAAAAGAAAATGCAAAAACAATGAAACGAAAGGCAGCAGAGAGAAGAAAAAAATCTTATATCTGCCCTTTTTTTCCTCAAGTATAAATTCAAACAATGGTACTCTTCAGTTAACAAAACAAAAGCTTTCTAGAACAACAAATTATATAGTTACACATTAAACTTTCATATTTTTCAACAATCTAAATTTCTCCATGAATAAAACCTGTGCAAAATAWACAAATGTGATTTAAAATGCAAAAACAGGATCAAACCGCCAATCAAAATAGACTGACTGCCCCMCTTCCTGATCCACATCAAAATCCATCCAGTAGTTCAAGAAATGTTTTGCCAACATGCAACGTTTTAATCAGATGTCATGCAACCAACACAGAATAATAAAAAACATTGAATCTTAATAACGCACAGTATATGTAATGTCAACTGTCCATACTGAACTAAGTCATGCCATCAGTGGGACACAAGCAGAACCTAACACTGATTTTAATATAAAATGAGAAACATGTTTACGCTTCACAGCTCTTCTTTATTTTATATTTTTATTTAATCTTTATTTTTACCAGGCAAAACAATAACTTCTTATTTACAATGTCAGGCTGGCGGGTACCAGACACCCATAAGGAAAAGTTCTTACTACTATTCTGTTCACAATTCTGTCCCTTTTCACAAAAATAAACCGTCCCCACACGATGCTGCCATCTCCGTGCTGTTAGATGGTACAAACCTATTTTGCTTTACCTCCAAATATAACAATATTTTTGCACAGCATATTGTTTTTAGACTTTCCTTGTCCGCCTCTTATGTTTGCTGTCAGGGAGTGAGAGACACCAGTGTTTGGTTACCATGGTGACTCCATTTATTTGAACTATTTTTTCTACACTCAAGTGTATTGTTTATAAAGCTGATGGGAGTGGATTCTTTGTAAAACCAGGTTAAATTTATTTAGGAATTTTTGTCTTGTGTTTTATTTGTTTTGTTATATCAAAAATACATTAAATGATTAATAAATAATAGGTAGTTAGGTAAACTTAAAATGTGACAATTGTCAGACAGAAATTGTGCAGCTGGTTAGTTAATAGGTTAGTTGGTTAGCTAGTTGCTTGCACTGCCTGCCACAGAGGGGGAGTCGCGAGCTCTGCTGGGAGCTACATGGTGCTCAATTTTTCAAGATGTCGTCGTTGGAACAGAGGCTGTCGCGAATCGAGGAGAAGCTAAAGCAGGAGAATGAAGAAGCCCGCCGGAGAATCGACCTCAGCATCGACATGAGTCCACAGCGATCACGTCCGAGGCCGAGTGAGTGTCCACCGGGCACCGGTGCGTCGGTGTCGGTTAATAGCTGGAGGAATATCYGAGAGGAGGAGCGGAGGGTTGTTTCGCTGCTACCACTAGCTACCAGTATGCTAGCAGGCTAGCTACGTAAACAAACACCGAGTCATCTCGGTTTTACTGTCAAATCCGTAATCAATTAAGCGGAACAGCTCGTGTAGGGAGTAATGTTTAAAAGAGTTTAAAAACCGAGACAATGTCATGATATATGTTGTTGACAATCTTGTGTCGAAATCTGTTTATTTCTGTCCTGTCAGACATGCTAAGCTAACAGGCTATAAGTCTTGTGATGGTAGCAGGCCTGGCGGCAGGATGAAAAAATAACCAGCTTTTAAATAAAAAGGTCACGGACGTGACACTCATCTATAGCTATCGTAAAGGTTATTGAATATAGTGAGCAGTGTGTGTAAACGCGACTTTTGTGCTAAAGCCAGATTTTATTAWCATTTCATCACATTCAGACGGTCATTTGTGGGAGCTAAGCTAGAGGGTTAGGCACTAAATTAAAAATAAAGCAACAGCAGTAGCGAACAAGTTATACTTTTCAGGGTTTCATGAACATTAAAGTCATTTGGCTATATTTGTGTCAATTTTGGTTTGCACCCTTTAAAATTGGCTACTTTTATTGCATGTTATTTCTCTTTTATGTGCTTTAAATAGCTGTTTATTTGACTTTTGCTTTAAACAAATTGTTTAAATAAAAGGRCTTGACAGGAGCTGCTGAAATTGTAATTATTGGTCTTTGAGAGGAAATTCTTTGCTGCTGTTTAACTCAGTTTTTTACTATGATTTTAGAAGTAATTGCTCAGTACATTTGAGGTTTAGTTTTACTGAGTACCTTTTTTTTTGTTCCCATAGTCATAAGTCAATTTACCTGCCTTGTCCAGGAATTGTTATTGGCATTGAAAAATAAAGCAGACTTCTCCTAGCCGTTAGTCTGAGAGTAAAATGGACATTGTGATAATAATGTTGTGGTTCAGCTTCTTTTGCAGACCATTATAGCTAGTTTTTTTATGTTGGTGGTGAAAAGTAAAATCATATAAACACATCAAACCTGCCATTGTATCAAGACGTCTTGGAAAAGTGTCAGTGTGCTGACTGTCCAGAGATCGAGAAAAATATAATTGTTGAAAACAGAATGAGATTAAAATGTTGCTTTTCTACCTGTTGATCACTTGGTCCTTCTCAGTTACACAACAGTAACCAGATGTCAACTCCAGAAAAATGTGACCYTGAAGACCTGATGTGCCACTCAAACTCTGAAGTCCTTTTGTGGATTTGTCACATCACGCCATCTTTTAAAATAGTATTTAAAGCTGTTACAACACAGCATAAGTTGTATACACCGACGCTGACTCTCCTCTGACAGCTTCTGGTATTCTTCTGTTTTCATTTTGAATAACTTGTCACATTTTGTAAAAATKTCCTCAGTGATCAGATTGATTTGAGCATCTGTAGTTTATCATCTTAACTACATAAACTGGTGCACTTAGGATGAAAGGGTTCATCAAGCAACTTGGAAAGCTTGTTTCATTGCGTCTCCTGTACCTTTGGTACCTGGTTTGATGATGACACTTGTATTGTTTATATCTAATGAGGCGACAATGACTAAAATCTGTTTATGAAGCTATTTTGATGGTGTTGGAGACTTTTTTCATTCGATCCAGATAAACCAGATCTGTCTGAGGGATGATATGGCTCACGTAAAGTGCCACGACATAATTTATAAGAGATATTTTTWAAAAATCCACTGTTTATTCAGAGAAGCCAATGTTATCGTTAGACACATCAGGCTGGTTTTGGTGCACCAGTAAACTGTGGCTTGGGGTAACATTACTGATTGAGTTCCCCCTGCTGTTGGTTTTAGCAAAGTGTAGGAAGGGATGGATGCATTTTTGTTCAAGTCACAGTGATGAGCAGTTCTGTTTACGATGATAAAATCCAAGCAGAGTCTGCTCCTGTTTAAACACTGGTAGCTAAAATATGCTGTGCTCAGCTGCACTGTGAGCCAGGAGGCTTTGGAGTCCAAAACTAAAGTGAAGCAGTGTTTTAATGYCTATAGAGAAAGTTTCCTTTTTTTAATTTAATGGAGTCATTTATTTTYTGTAATTTGTTGGAATGTGTGTGGATGCACATGTGTGACCGTCTGAGTAGAACAGAGCAGTAATGCGAGCGTGTGTGTATTCTCTTTCTTCCGTCTAGTCATCGTGATCCAGCTCAGTCCTGCTCCAGCCCCCTCCCAGCGTGCAGGTATCATTCAATCCATCGCTCCTTCTGCCACTGCACCCCTCCACCCTCTCTCAGCCTCCTAACACCTTTCTCCCATATGTTGTCTTCCATCCTCTTTCTCTTCATCTTTGATTTTTTTTTTATCGTCCAGTAATGCTGCCAAAAACTGAGACAGCTCATCACAAGTTCAGCTCGAATGGGATCCTGCCATATTTATCTTAACATTAAGGGTCGCTACATGGCGTCGTTATGGACTCATTTAATCTAGGTTACAGCAAAAACAATTTTAACATTTTGGACAAACATTGCTTATTCCAGCTCATTTTGCCACAACGGCTCACACATGCTTCCCCAGACGAAGAGTCTTTGTCATTCTGARCCATCAGGTACAAACTGAAGTGCAGAGTTAGAGAAATATCAAACAAGAAGCTGGAACAATGTGCACAGCAGGTCCAGCAGCTCTTTGCTTTGAGAGGAAATCCCATCCCGTTTTACCAATACTAACAAKTTTTTATAAAAGGAATAGAGGATTTCTAATGAGGATGAGGCCATCTGCCTTCAAACTATTTTAGTGTCACGTAAATGTTTCTAGAAGAACACAAACCAAAAACAAAGACACTTAGGTTATTCCCTTGTTGAGCTTTAAATTCTGTATTTATATCCAAATACCTGATTGATTAATCGAATGCTCAATCGCTAAAATGCTGAATTGCCAGAGCTCTAAAATTAACATTAACCTTCAGAATACAAATTACTTTTCTAACATTCAGCATTTTTTTGTCTCGTATTACTCTTCTAAGAAACTGTATAAACCATGTTTATAAAACCAGTCTTTGACTAGCGCTGACATATTTTAGTTCAGCAGTAATTTACTCCTCCTGTAAACATCCATCTTTCCATCTCTCCTCCTGTGTGTGTCCGTGTGTGTGTGCCAGTGGCAGGGCGGTGTTGGTATGTGTTTATGTTCTCGGCGTGCGTGTGGACGCGTGCAGAACGATTAACCTTTGTTTTGCTGGAGGCAGAGAATCACGGTGCATGTAGCTTTTCTGCACGGCGCGATGGAATGGGTTGTGTCTTTTATTTATTTTATAYTCTTTTTGACACAGTCTCTAATCCAGCATCCCCGTTGGTTTGTCTGCAGGATTGCTGTGAACACTCTTTTTTATTCCTACTTTCCACATGTGCAGACTGGAGAACTTCCTCCTTCCTGTCCAGGTCTGARTGACTGTCTGACTTCCAGTTTAGTCTGTGCTATGCAGTTTTTTTGGCTGAATTTCTTCTCTGGCTCACACACACATTGGACTGTTWGATGTCTGTGTTTCGCCTCTCTGCATCCCCCTCTTTGCAGTGGCGCTGTGTGAGCAGGAGRTGGGGCAGCAGCGCCTGCTCATGTCTGTCTTTTAAGCGTTTCACCTCCTCCGTGCTACGTCTTCCGGTCAGTCTTCCTGTCCGTCTGGAACCAGTCCAACCTCGGAGATGCAAATGACTAAAGACTGAGTCTTACTTTCTGTCCACACTAACCCCTTCTTTCACTGACTAATCCTCTTTTTACAGGCACATCCATCCAGATGACGTGGACAAAAAGCATCCTCCGGCACTCTCTGAGGAGCTGCCAGCTTGCTATGACAAAACGCATTTATTATAATAACAGTAAAAGCTGCAAGGTTCATAAAATAATTATTTAAAGGTTAATGTTTTAATATTTATAATAGGTAGGCTTTATTACCAGAAACTCGATGTAGCTTCAGTTTCAAATTATGGTCTTTTATAACTTTTTGTCATTAAGCAGGGTTCCCACGGGTCCTTGAAATCCTTGAAAGTTTATGAATTAAAAAAATTATTTCAAGTGAAAGCAGCCAAAAATTACACTTGTCCTTGAAAGTCATTGAATGTTTTTTTGGGGGATTGAAATTCTCTATTTACACAACTGATTTTCATCATCTTTTAAAAAAATAATTTTTAAAATTTAATTTAAAAAAACGTACATTTGTTGCAGTGGATAACAGGATTACAGTAAACTGACGTCATGTTTCTGACTCAACTTCTGTGTTTTTCAGTTTTTCATTGAGTTTACATGATATTAAACCTGTTTATTGGTAACATTCTGCAGTAGGTAATTGCCCTTGCACGTGGTTCTTCAATTTGAGGAAATTGGTACTGGAAAGTCCTTGAAAGGTCCTTGAATTTGATGTTGACCATGTGGGAACCCTGATTAAGTCAGTGATTTCATCGACAGTGATGTCCAAATTCCAATATCATCACTGAGATCTGAGAACCTGACATTTATAATGATTATTTACAGGGACATGCAGATAAAATTTAGATGCTAAAACAAATAATAAATAAAGATGATTTCTCAAGTTAATCTTTTATTGAGTTCTGTCTCAGTTCTCACTACTTACTGCAAATTATTGTTCCCGTTCTCAGTTTGTTTTTCTCTTGTTGACAATAATTACCACAAATATAAATATGCTCACTATTAAGTTTACCTCCAGTTAAAACCTCCTTCTTTTCTTGGTTTATTTAGCACAATCAGTTCACTGCTTAAGATCCAATCTGCACTACCCTGAATGTTTTTAAAAACTAATATTTTCTGCTGTGTTTGCACCCCATGTATGCACACAGAGTTTTAGTTTTTTTTATCTAGAAATATTACTTTTCGGGTGTATTAATGAAAACTGGAGACTAAACTCTATAAGCGATAATGTAACAGACTATTCTGCTGATCCTCACTATGACTTGGTGCCCCAGAAACCGAAACGACACAGAAATCGATTTTACGACGATGTTCTCTGAGGCTATAACACACCACCAGGTTTCGTCTTTGGTTTGTTTCTAACGTGTCTTATCTGACTTTAATGCAGCGCTCCAGCTGCCCCTGGCCAACGATGGAGGCAGCCGCTCGTCATCTTCAGAGAGCTCGCCTCAGCATCACCCCTACCCCAGCCGCCCCCGACACATGCTCACTCTGCCCACGCCGCCGTACGGCCTACAGAAGAGCCTCGAAAAGTAGGTTGAGCCTGATGTTTGTGGAAACCTCGTTAGTGTCGTGTTTTTAATAATAAGCTAGTAAAAAAATGATTTTTAATTACGAGAGATGAAAGCACAAAAGCACCTTTCATGTAACATTTGTCAGCTCTGTTTTTTTAGTTTTGTTTGTTCTTGTAATGCTCGYAGTGTGGAGATTGACCAGAAGCTGCAGGAGATCATGAAGCAGACGGGTTATTTGAAGATTGACGGACAGGTGGGAGTCGAGCAGAGGCTTATGTTACATTTCAAAAGTGTTGCATGTTAGAGTTACAGAACTGAAAATAAAATGACAGGATACACAGACCTGAACAAACTCCTCATGTCAATAAAAATAAAACACAGCAGTTTTATGGGTATKTATGGTTGGATCAGACTCTGATTGAGTCAACAGAGAACGTCTAAAGTTTTATAAATTAAAATGTACAGCTTGATCATCACAATCGTGTCTGGTGTTTTATCATCAGCATTGATGTGTTTGTTTCGTCTAATAATCACAGGCCTCATTTAGTTTTTCATTTTTTGAGCCTCTACCTCTGGTTTTGTTTCTAGTTTCTGTTAAAATGCACTGATTTTTAAAAAGAAAGGAGTCATTGCTTCTTACCAGTTTTCTTTTTCACTAATTCTAACTTCCCCTCTTTATCTCTGAGGGGTTTGCTGAGTCATGCACTCAGTGAAACACCACTCGGCACTAACGGTTCATTTTTAATGAGGCGGGCCTTTAATGCCTCTTCCTGCTGTGTGTTCTTTAGTGTCGACTCAACAGGAAACCGCTTCTTTACAAATCAGACAACTTGTGACGGTGGTCTCAGCCTGTTGATAAAGTAACGTGCTGATATCTTGGGCAGGATCTAAAAGTGGTTTTTGACTCTATGCGTCCACAGAGGTATCCAGCAGAAGTAACAGACCTCATCAGTGAGGGAGAGATCGGCAGTGGGACTTGTGGACAGGTTTTCAAAGTCCGTTTCAAGAAGACGGGTCATGTCATAGCTGTGAAAGTAAGAAGCCCCTGCACTGTTTACTGTTCATGTTGTATTTTTTATTTAACTTCTTTTCTACTAAAGAATTGAAAAGTTCACCAAAAACATGGTTTGGTTTTTAGGGTCATGATTTTCAGTTTGTTTTTGTAAACACTGTACATCAGTAATACTTAAATCTCATTAGACCGTACTGGAAACTAGTCGTACAGAAGTCGTATCTTAATAGGCTGCCTGAAAAAAGAAGCAGTTCCACTTTCACTCATGAACGTTTGTGTCAACAGCAAATGCGTCGTACAGGAAATAAGGATGAGAACAAGAGGATCCTGATGGACCTGGACGTGGTGCTGAAAAGTCATGACTGTCCTTACATCATTCAGTGCTACGGTGCCATAGTCACCAACGTGAGTCTCCTCAAAACACTTCTGTTTCAATGGCAGGGATCCAGGAAACCTTAACTCAGTAAAAACTAATGTTTGTGTTTTGCTTTAAGTTTTTATGATGGTAAACTTCTTTGCATTTTGAATTTTAACTTGTTAATCCACGCGTTTGTTTCTGTAAACAGACGGATGTATTCATTGCGATGGAGTTRATGGGGACATGTGCAGAGAAGCTGAAGAAGAGAATTCAGGGTCCTATTCCAGAGAGAATCCTTGGAAAGATGACGGTTGCAGTAAGTCTCACCTGATTTGTAAAGAAGATTTCTCACGTTATTGTTGAACCTTTTTTTTATACATTGTTTGTGTTTCTGCTGCAGATAGTGAAAGCTTTGTTGTACCTGAAAGAGAAACACGGAGTCATCCACCGGGACGTCAAACCCTCCAACATCCTCATCGATGCTAAAGGTCAGATCAAACTGTGCGACTTCGGCATCAGCGGCCGCCTCGTCGACTCCAAGGCGAAGACTCGCAGTGCTGGCTGTGCTGCCTACATGGCGGTGAGCATGTATTCTCATTCAAACACAAGGTCCACAGACGAAACGCACAACGCTTTCTAAATCAGCCACCCTGCTTTCYAAAGACCACAACTTCATTGTTTTTTTTATTTTATTTTTATCAAACCCTCTTTTTGTGCTTTCTTTTGTTTTATTGGTCTGGAAATACTGCCAGAATAACAAAATTCACATTAGAATATTGAAATCAGGTCAAATTAGAGAGAGAATCCTTGGAATGGTACAGAAACCTTGTCTGCTCAGAAATCCATGTTTGCAGATGAAACACCTTTGTCTTAAACTATTTTTATATATATTTTTAATTCCTTCAGCCTGAACGAATAGATCCTCCTGATCCCACCAAACCTGACTACGACATCAGAGCAGACGTGTGGAGCCTCGGCATCTCACTGGTAAATATCTTACATCATTACCATGAACAACTTAATAATAAGAAAATCTACTTTTTTTTTTTTCACATTGAAACATTTGTTGTCTTTTAACGCATCCCTTGTCTCTCCTAGGTGGAGCTGGCCACAGGACAGTTTCCTTACAAGAACTGCAAGACGGACTTTGAAGTTCTGACCAAAGTGCTGCAGGAAGATCCTCCTGTCCTGCCTGTCAGCATGGGTTTCTCCCCTGACTTTCAGTCCTTCGTCAAAGATTGGTGAGTTCAGATCACAGCTTAATTAAATGTACTTTTAAGAAGATCCAAATCCAATAAGGACTCTTTTTTCACTCCTAAATGAACCAACTAAAGATTTGACTGTCACCAATTTGTCCCCATTTTGACTTGGAGGTTTACAGATATTTTTATTTGAGGCTGATCATGACAGTAACAGTTATTGCAGTGAGGTATTTTTAAAGCAGCACCGTGTGAAGCCTTAYATTATTGTGTTACACTGACCCACAGTTAGGCTCAAAGAGTTCACAAGTAACACTTTAAATGGATAACATTCAATCTGACCAAAAGAGAATAAGAACTATTTATTTGCTAGAAAATCTGTAAGCTGCAAAATAAATGCAAGAATTAGATTGACACGTTTAAGTGACATTATTACTTATAAGTACAGTAAAGTTAATGCAGAAATTAGTGAAATAGATAGAAATATTTTTATTTAACTTCTTCAGTCCCAAGGGGTTTTCTTGACGTTTGTGCTTGGAAATATTAAAGCAGCTCTTATTTTTTAAAAGATAGTTAGGATGGAACAGAAAAAAATGATGTTGCCTGAAGGTTTTATGCATTAGACAGTATTTGACCTAGGGTTGGGCAAAATGGCAAAAAAAAATGATCACGATAAAATTTTTCTTATTGTCTGATCTCGATTAAAATCACAATTTTTTTGTTGACCTAAAAAGTGACAGAAAAATAATTTGACAAATAAACAAATAAAAATAGCTACAGAAAAAAAATATAATGTCTGTTATTTGACTTTCACTGTAGAGCATTAAAATTTTTTGCAAGGTATTTAAAAGGGTATTTACCAAGAAAAAAAAAACTTATGTGTAAATCATAGAATCTCACATTAATAAAGTTATCCTTTTGTGAAATTAAAGTTTTAAAATTGAATTTCTCATTAAATATGCCATAAAGAAACATAAACCCTAGAAAACAGCAACAATTTGTGCACACTTGCCTATTGGATAGGATCTAACTTTTGTTATGGAAAGATTTTTGCAAAAGTTAATTTATTTTTCTTACCTGCCTGAAAAGACTTGTTTTTAATGTTTATTCTATTGAAAAATTGAATTAAAATCTATTATTGGTGTGTTGTTGTTTTTTTTCCAGCCTCACAAAGGATCACAGAAAAAGGCCAAAATACCATCAGCTGCTGGTAAGGTTCAAACTATAATAATGTGTAGATCTTCTCTTTTTATCTGAGAGTAGTGACCAAACTCACTGACGTTTCGTTGTTCTTGTCTGCCCTCGCTGCAGGAGCACAGTTTCATCCGTCGTTACGAAGTGCTGGAGGTAGACGTTGCCGGTTGGTTTCAGACGGTGATGGATCGCACCGAGTCTCCCCGCAGCAGCCAGTGTTACAGCCATCAGCACATGCTCCACTCGCTCTTCAGTAGGTAGCCTAGTCCCGCCCGGCCCCGGTGTCGGCTCCGTCAGGCTCTAGACTAGACCGGGTCCAGCCTGGCTTCAGCCCAGGCTCGGTCCGTTCTAGTTTAGGCGTTGTAGCAGCTGCGCCCGGCTCCAGACCCATCCCGCCTGTCTTATCTGTCCACCAGAGAAGCTGAAGAAGACACTCAGTGGGGGGCTGTCAACGAACAGATGGAGTGATGGACAGAGGTGCTCTGACAGATGGACAGATAGACGACAGAAGTGGTTTTATTTAGTGTTACGTTCATTTTGAACAAGGAGGCAGCGAAAGGTTACCTTCATTTATTCACACACTTTTATCACACTTATCACAGCGTGTTTAACACCTTAAATACAGACTGCTCTTGTACATTTTCTCCAGTTTTCTCTAGTTTTTTATTCGTACGGCAGTGATCCAAGCTGTTGGATTGGTCGACAGAGTAGTCACTACACACTGAAATAAAGCGTCTGCTGCTTCAGCAAACAGACATCACCTATGTACATAAATAACGAGGACAAAACAAAGTTTGTGCAATTGTAATTCAGGTGTTTCTCTTACATTCTCAGGCTGAGTCTAGGTGTTGCGTGAATGAGCGTTTATGTAAGAACAAATATCTAAACGGGCTGTTTTTGAGATTATACTTCATAGCCATGTTTTTGTTGAGCTTCATTAACATCTATGCGTATCAGATCCTCTGCTGGCTGTGTGTAGTTAAGGTTTTTGTGTTACGGTGATATTTATCGAATGTATAAATGCGGGGGGAAAAACTGAAAACGAATCACAAAAAAATTAGCATTGTATCGTAGTTTTATAGTCATTAAAAAAGTGATGTTTATTTTCTAGATGTGAAAAGATGAAAGGCAGATGGAAGGTTTGTTTGTAAGAAACAAAGACTAAATATTAGTTTTGCAGATGACTTGATGATCTTATTAACCGTGGAGCGATTCTCTCTATAATACGTCAAACTCTGCTTCTACCTCTTCTTCGTTGTCCGTCGCTCCGTCTGTCAGACAGACTTCAGCGTTTTCAGACCAAAGGTTGCTGTTGGAGATGCTCTGCGGTGAATTCAAACGGGAGAAAAGTCWTGATGGCAAGTTGTGGGTTTTATGGAACCTCAAGGAGGACGGTGTCTGTGTTTCAACCTGGGTGGTTACAATCCTCTTTTTTTTTCTTTTCCTGCTTTATTCTGATCTCAACATGAAGCTAAAGAATGTTACCTGAGTGAATTGTGAACGGGTGGAGCCTGAGAGTGTGCGTCGGGTTTTACGAACAGAAACGCTGGTCCACAGAGCACTCCTGCTGTCCCTGGTGCAGGGACTTCACAGCCAAAGCCTGCTAGATTTAGATGCAACACCCCCCCCCCCCACACACACACACACACACACCAAACTAAACCACAGGTAGACACACAGGTGAGGAGTGGTGAAGGTGGGTAAAACAGGAAGTTGGTTGAGGCTGAGGGACATGGATGTTGTCAGGAGGGCAGAAYGGATGGATGACTTTGGGAACATGAGAGGAGAGAGTGGAGAAGAGRAAACGTAAAGGAAGTGAGACGACAAGTTAAAGACAAGTCACRTTGTTGGGATGTAAATGCGGAGAAAGAGACAGAAACCAGGTTTCACCGGAAGTAAAACAATAAAAAGCTTTCGTGGTGTCGCACCAACCTGTCAGATCTGAGTTTAGAGATGAGATCCAGYGTGTTTGTTTACCGTTCTGTTCAGATTGTGTTATTTATTTACAAATCTCTACTGCTGCTACCTTTATCACTTTAGACGCTGCTTCGCTTTCTTTTCCCCAAAGGAAAGAAACATATWTTTTTTTCCATTTTTAAGCCAAATAAATGAAATAATGCAATGTCTACACATMGTACCAAATACAGAAGAGCAGAAGTACGTGAGAGACGGTCGAGTGAAACCGCATGGAGGTCGGCTAAAAAAGAAAAACTAACGCACGCCTCACRGTTAGCGCAACCATGAGTAGGCGATCATTTCTGAAACCACGTCGCGCTGCGACTGTACAGTGTAGATAATGGAGGGGGACACCTGTCTGTCTGTCCGGACCCTTTATCTGTCCATCTGTCTGTTCATCCCTCCATCTGTCCACAGGTCGCCTGCGAGCTCCACAGCCCTAACCGTTCACGCCAAAGGTGACAACGACTCGAACTCTGCTCCTACATTAGCATCCATTATTCTCACCTGTGATGAAGTCGCTCTAGCTAGTGGGGAAGAATGTGTTTGTGTGTTTGTTTTTGCTGGGTGGGGGGTGTTGCTGTATTAWAGCAGTGCTGGGTGTGTATCATGCTGTGCAGGGGGAGACTGGTGCTCTTACGACGGAATGAGGCGAATCGATTCGTCTGCTCAGTCTGGTGCTCTCTGGGTTTTACCTGGTTATGTTCATTTACTGAACGCAGCAAGTTATTTCAGAATTTTAAGATTTTCACTAAAACCTACACAACTTTTTAAAATTACTTTAGAAACACTCCTACAAAACATTCAGCTTTTTTGTCTTGAGATTAAAATTTGACTGTTCAGATGTTGACTTAAATGACAAACTGGATCACTGTTAAAGTGATGAATCAAAATGCTGACGAGCTCAGAGCCTTGGCTGAAAGTGAGCTAATAAAACCAGCTTCATCCTGAGCACTGCTCGTTTTGTTTCACGCTGCAGGCTCCTGAGCCGACGTGATGTTTGGGTAAACGTTTGGCCCGACTGCGTTGTTGTGACTCCAGATCCTGAGCTCAGCAGGGCTCTCCTGCCCTCCCGTAAACACACTTCTCTCTGTGACCCGCCGCTCACAGAGCTGGATGTGGTGCTGCTGTTCTTCTGTAATCTCTGTTCGCTCACTACAACGTCAAAGAGCCAGTCTCCCCTCACTTGTGTTAGTAAAAAAAAATGTCTATTTTACAGAAACACACACACCAAATGTATAAATAAATCCCACTGTACACAGTGATGCTGGCTCCTGCCAACACAGGCTTTATGTATAAACATGTATAAAAGTAGCTGATGGTGTTTACCTGTGCCGTGCCTCGGCGCTGAGTGTGTGTGTGCGTGCGTGTGTTGCCCATTTGTAAGTAAACCAAATATCATTTTCACTATGCAGTCATTCAAACCACGTCAGCTCGCTTCAGCAGGGAAGGAGCTTCCTGTGTACACACAGCTCCACAGAGAAACTGGAGATAGTGAAGGTGCTTTCCTTTATAAGCCCCGCCCCCACACACACACCTCCACCATTAATCTGCTTTCCGTTTGTCTCTAAATTCAAACCTCAAATCATGTTGGAACGCGTGAACTGTCGAGTTCTCTTCATCCGAACCGTACGCTGTAAATATCCAGATCTTAGACTGGAACCTGGAAGTTGAAACCAGAGCCAACCCAGTTTTTTTTTTTTTTATCACTTTATTTTGTTTCCGTCGCTCGCTCCGTGTAAATAAACAGGAACCAGATTGTGCTGGTTTTAACTTTCAACAAGACGAGGCAAGAACTGGTTATCTAGCAGGTATCCTATAATGTAGTACTACAGTATGTATCATTTATTTAATACGATTCAAACTGACAGAAGTCAAATAATAAGCTTCTCTGTATGCGCACGGCAGCCATATTAGATTTTGAGGTCTTCTTCGGGGAGCGTCGCTCCAGTTTCCAGCTCCTGAGCAGAAACGCACCGCAGCACGAGTTCACTGACACGTGTTTTGAATGAGCTGATGAATATTTAAGGATTGTATGACTGGGGTTTGTTGTGTGTGTGCGCGCGTGTGTGTGTGTGAACGGGGGATGCTGTAAAGTATATCAGTTGCATGTTATTGTCACGGCTGTAACCGCCATCGTTTGGTTTTCTGTTCGACGATGAGCGGTTTGGACGGGGATGCACAGACTTTATTCTTATTATTTATGATTTTTACACGTATATTACGTTTTTATTTTGTATTTGAGACGTTGTCGATCTGTCGTGTACTTAGGATGAGACACATTTTTGCCTTTTTTTATGTTCTGTGTCAGTATGTTTTATTTTTTATTTTATTTTGCAATATACTGTTTCACTTTTGACCCATCACTTGTTGATGATCAGGAGGAGGAGAAGCTGTATCTTTAATAGCCGACAGTGTTTGTTTGTTTTTGTTTGTTAGAAAACACTTTGGTCATCCTGTTTCTCCTCGTTCATGCGCCATACATGTCGTGAGTGCGGAGAGAGGGTAACGTATGTCAGTCTACCAAAAGTCTTTTATCGACGTTGATTATAATAATTATTAGCTTTTTAATTTTGTTTATTCTGTTTGTTTTTATTATGATTGCAGTTTTATTGTTGTTGTTATTATTCAGGGCGATGATGACACCAAATTGAACAAAGAAACACGTGTGTGACGACACACACTCGTCTTTTTAAAGGTAATTTTTACTGACGAGGTGGAGCGATGCTTTAATCCGCCCACCTCGTTTAAAACCGCCACAAACAGGATGACCTCTGACCTGAACGTCTGATAGTATTTTTTAATTATTATATTTTATTTTATTTTTTGATTGTCAACTTTATGGTTGATTTATTTCTCGCTACCCTAGTTTGGGTCATAAACTGTGTGCTGTTTGTATTATTATTATTATTATTATTATTATTATAATTATTATTATTATTACCAACTTTATGGTTGATTTATTTCTCGCTACCCTAGTTTGGGTCATAAACTGTGTGCTGTTTGTATTATTATTATTATTATTATTATAATTATTATTATTATTACCCCTTTCATCCCCTCGTTTATTTTTTATTATTCTATTTTTTTAAGATTATTTTGTCGTGTTTGTCTGATGCTGTAGTAGTGAGCTTACGGTTAAACACCAGAGCTTTTATTATTATTTTTGATTTTTTTTTCCTGTAATGCTGAGATTGTGGTGACTGATGTTGCACTTGTGATGGGTTTTTTATTTTTGTTTGTTTGTGCAGAGAGAACGCGTTTCCCCGTTTTCTTAAAACGTCGCAGCAATTTTATTATCAATCATGAATCTGCGACACGACGAGAATATGATTCAACAGTGTATTTGTCTCACTTATATTTATTTATTGCTCGTTTGTATGTTTTTTTTTTTTTTTTGTTTTCTATGTTTATCGGGAGGGTAAACAAATGGACTCTCATTAGCTTTTATTTTTTGTGTGTACAGAAAGGAAAATATTGTATTCAACCATCAAACTAACCTGCGACCAGTTTTGTAGAGGAACAGGTGGAAATAAAAACCAGCAGCGCAGTGAAGTTTGCTGTTTTTGACTTTGCTGTGACTGTTAGACGTTGTTTTGTTTACTGTTTACCTGGACAAACAAAGCTACAGCACCATGTGTCTGACTCTAGAGCAGGAGTCCTGGGGCTGCACTGATCCTGCATGTTTTACAGGTTTCTCAGGTAGAACATGCAGGATAGAGACCCTCGAGGACAGTTGGACCTGTTTTAAAACTTGCTGGTTTTATGAACCAGCTGAAAGCCTCCCGTTTGGATTCTGAGCTCTGATTGCCTTGTTATGAACCCCCCTCACCCCCCTAGCAGCGAGGCGAGACTCTCCCCCCTCATCTTGTTGCTCGATCTTTCAGAATTGCATGAATTAGCTGGTTTGCTGTGCTGAGGAGGGAGGACTTGTTCCTCAGCTTTACTGCCCCGTTTATCCAAATGTTGTTGTTTTTTTTTATTATTTTTTTGGCTGTTTTATTCTCCCCTTGCCCTTCATCCACTCCCCAAGTCTCATTTCAAACTGAATAAATGCCATTATATTGTGAATACCTCAGGATTTTATTTTTCCTTTTTTTTTTTTTT